TTTTGATTATAAATAAGCCTTGGTTATAATATTTTGGTTGGTTAAAATATAGTTTTCGCAAGGTTTTTTTTTTGTTTTTATAGAATTATATTAAAAATTAAGCACATATTTTAATATAATTCTAGAATACGATTTGGAGTTAAAATTTCATCGATTTAGTCGCCGCGGCTAATGTTTTCCGTTTCGACAAACCGATTTTTGACATTTGGAATTAATGACGCCAACGGAGAACATTCGCCGCGGCGACTATATTTATAAATAAACCTATTATTTATAACTAAAAAATAAAGAATATACCCCTTATTATAAATAATTTTTAACTTTTTCTTTTTGACACGCGTTAACAAAATTGTTTTTTACCCTTTTATATAAATAAACAATCTTAAAATATTTATAATTTTTAAACCCTCATAACTAAAAAACGAAAAAAAAATTAAATTTATTTTATACTTAAAGTAACCCTCCTACAGCGTGAAATGGCGTAGATCCGCCCTGTATATTTTTATGCCTTATAAATTATTTTATTTATTTGTTTTATGTTATTATATATTATGTTATTATATATGGTTATATTATTATTTTATGTTTTTGACTAAATAGTCTATTGTTTTTTTATAAAGAAATGAAATATGCTGTATTTTTAATTTATTAAATATATAAATATTTGTGTACCTTACTTGTTACTTGGAATCAAAATAAAAATATAATTGAAAAATATTAGAAAAAAATTGAAAAAATAAACGCTTAGGTTAAGTACTCTTTTAAGTACATTCTAAATTTTAATCTATGGGCTGTTTGCTGCCTAACCTAAATCGGACCAAGACAGCCGACGTCCTATATTTTTATTTACAATAGTTGGTAACCCTATCTGCAACCCCTAACTCAAAAATTCTAAATTGCAAAGGGTATCATGTGGCACATCATTTTAAAGCTCGTTTAATTTGCAATACAACTGCGTACTTACTTTTGTAATTTATTGGTTGGTTCTCAAGAAAAAAAACAATAATTATTGTTTGAAAATTGGTTTTTACTAAATCTAAACGAATAGGTATAGGTATAGAAATTTATTTATCAATTACAATTGAAAATAAAAAACTCTTTTAATATTTTTAGGTCAAATATTCAAAATGTCCCCGTACTCTTGCAAACAATAATAAAGCCTGGATTCAAAACCCTCCCTCACATTACGGAACATCGCTGGAGTTATTTGACGGCACTCTGTTATAATCCGTTGACGTAGTTCATCCAAAGACGCAGGTTGTGTCACGAAAACGTTCGACTTAAGGTATCCTCACAAAAAAATCGCGTGGATTTAAGCCAGGTGATCGGGCAGGCCACTCTACAGGACCCCTTCGTCCAATCTAACGTTCATGATATCGCATATCTAGATGCCGACGAACTGGAGCTGAGTAATGAGGAGGAGCGCCGTCTTGTTGGAAATGTAAGTCCTGTTCAGCAAGCAAGGGATCATCTTCTAAAGTTTGGGTATCCAGGCATCAATTTCATTTTTCATCATGTTTAGATACATTTCGCTGTTTAAATTGCCTTGAATAAACAGAGGTCCAATTAAATGTTTCCCCAAGATTCCTGCCCAAACATTCAACTTCTACGGATGTTGAGTATGAGCTTCCCGGTATAAATGAGGATTTGTATCACTTTAAAACCTGCAGTTGTGCCGATGGACCTTGCCATTGAGTGAGAAAGTTGACTCGTCCGAAAAGCAAATGTCTTTTATCGAAATTGTCTTCATTTAATTCATGTACCAGCCGAATTTCGTAGGGATGAAACTTGTTTTTGTGTAAAATTCTAAACACGTTAGTGCTGCTCACGCCGGAAGTTGCAGATAGTTGCCGTATTGACTGCGTATTTGGCATAAGCTGAATTTGTCCCAATACCGCTACAGTAGCTCCTTCGTCATGCCCTCTGGAAGCCTTTTTTTTAATTTAAAACTGAACCGGTTTCAACAAATTTTGAGATTAATTCTCCGATGTATCTATGACCAACATTGCGATCGGGGTGATTTTCGTTGAACACCCTTGCAGGTCTTCGAGCACATTTTTAATTTTAGTAATAGCAGCCTAGCAACTCAACACCTTCTTGTAATGTGTACACCATATTTAAACAATTAAGCATTAGTGTTTTTAGGTAAAAACTTTATTTATCAACAATAAGCAAAAAACGATTGACGAGAAGTAAGTTATTTTAAATGGTTTAGTTCAAAACAGTAAAAAATGTATTAGAAATTAATTGATAGGCATTGATTTTTTCTAAATCTAACCGAGTTTCTTTTATTTTTAGATTTTCATCGATGAGATTTGTTTAGTTTTGAAATTTATTAAACATAGACATTAGAGATTCAACTCACCAAAGCCGTTTTGACTAAATTTTGCAGGATTTATACTGTAATAACAATAAAAATTGTTTTTTTCTTTACAAACAATCGGTAAATTACAAAACTACACAGTTGTGTTGCAAATTAAGGGGGTAGCTCCTGGGCGCAAGGGGTATGGGTGAGAAACCAAATTTTGCCATGAAAAATTGTCCCCCTCGATATAAAACTTTACGTGTCTCGGCGTTTTTTTTTTAATTTCAGGTTCCGAGAAATTTAGGATGGTTCGTTTTAATGGAACACACTGTAAACTTTTATAGAAACTTGACATTGTAGGCAGAGTCAGCCGTACAATTTTAAATTTGCAGGTATTTATAGTGCGCGAGTCATAGAAGTAGTAGTACTACCTTATTAGGTACCAAGGGACCCGGACCGGACCGGAACCGGTATTTATTTGTGGACCGGAACCGTAACCGAACCCATATTATTTTTAAATAGAGACCGAACCCGAACCCTTTAAATTTAAAACTGTTTGTTAGGTTATTTTCGGTTTTTTTCTTAATTTCTATATCTATAAAATTAGTTTGTATCGTAGTGTTTGTTTTGTTAAGTTTTATTCGAACTGTTTAAATAAGTGTTTATAGTTTTTTAAATTTTTATAATGAACAACGAGTTTTTTGAAGTACATTTATGTTTCTTATTTTACCTTTAGAGTCACTTTAACTAACTTAAATATTTAACTACCTAAAATAGCATTGAAAATATCGCCTAGTGAGAAAACAATGTCGCTACAATACTTCGCATCTATATGAAATAGGAAGCGAAAGGCGAATATTGTATTTCGCAATTCGCATTTCGCATCTATATGAAACCGACTTAAGTAAGCGTTGAAAGGTTTTCTGTTTTCAAATTTTTACTTCCCCCAACAAGCACGGTGGTCCTCAATTAATTTCAACCAAAAAGTCTTTGCACCTCAAATTTTTTTTTTACTATATATTTTTATACCATTTAGCAGCTACTTTCCAACAAAAAGTGAAATCCTACATGGGGCACTTTTTAAATAAAATCGATTTTTTGTATTTTTATACAAGGTGTCCCTAAACTTAGTGGCATAAATTTAGGAGCAGATTAAGCAAGTCAAAATAAGACGAAAATCTAAATAAATATTTTTCCCAATTACGTATGTTTAAAAGTTACAGGGTGATGAAGTGTTATTATCATATCAGTTTTTTTAATATAACTTCTACTATGGTAGACTTGAAAAGGTGATATTTTGCGAACAGTCACTTACTACCAAAACACATATTCACACATAATTACAATTGTTTGAGTGAACACAGTGTGGTAGAAACGGGGGTTGCTTTAAGCTTATTGTCCCATACAAACTTTGAGGTTAGGTTTTTGTAACATTTGATGCAATTTATCGATTAAACAGTTCGGCTACCATTAAAAAGGTGTACCTCTCAAACTTAGATAAAATAAACCGTTTCCGAGATATTTGAGATTACAATAATTGTTTTATCGCATTATTTAAAAGGATTAAAAGGTATAGGATAACAATTTTTATATTTTAATTGAAAAAACTAAAAAGGGCATTCCATGAGCCTCGGGACTTTTTGCCCTGACCGTCACATTAAAAAAAAAGTAGTTTTTTCAATTAAATTTTTTTTTATCATATACCTTTTAGTCCTTTAATGCGATATAACAATTATTGTAATCTCGAATATCTCGAGAACGGTTAATTTTATCGAAGTTTGAGAGGTACACCTTTTTAATAGTAGCCGAAATGAGTAATCGAAAAATTGCATCAAATGGTATAAAAACCTAACCTCAAAGTTTGTATGGGACAATAAGATTAAGCAACCCCTGTTTCTACGACACTGTGTTCACTCAAACAATTGTAATTATGTGTGAATATGTGTTTTGGTAGTAAGTTACTGTTCGCAAAATATTACCTTTCCAAGTCTACCATAGTAGAAGTTATATTAAAAAAACTGATATGATAAGTAACACTTTATCACCCTGTATCTTTTAAACATACGTAATTAGGAAAAATATTTATTTATATTTTTAAATTAATATTTAAACTTTATAAAATAATAACATTTAATCGGTCCAAGCTAAAATTTCCGTATTATAGTATTTTTTTCATTTATTTAATTTTGACAACGCTGTTATTCCATACGCTGAAATATTCCATATTCCACAAAAGTTGAAAACATGGAAAAAACTTAATTTTTATTTTAGAATTGTCATTATTAATTTATTGTTATTACTATAATTTAAAGCTAAAACTACTCGTCGACATTTTTTGGTGTTTTTTACTTTATATTTATTGCGTATGGCGTTAGTAAGCTATTTTCGGAATACCCTATATACATATTTACAATAATTGACATTAAACATAATACAAAATTTGCAGTAAACTATTTAAGATCGTTAAAATCCAATTTGTATTTATTTATAATTTTATTGACCTTTAAAATTGACCTGAGATTTAATTTATTTTGCCTAAATTTAAAAATATTTAATCTACCTTAACTATGTTAATTAAAATTAAAATGTAGGTATAAATACCACAATAAATATCTCTTACTTCTAGGACATTTAATCACTAATCAACTTATTTACGAAATTCTCAGATACGTTTTATTACTTTATCGGCCTTTTACGAATATGAACTGTAACTGTTTTATGTTGTTAATAGTTTTATCGACTTCAAAGCTAGTTAATTCTGTAACAGAGGAAGATGAGGGAGTGAAATATGCGAATAGATGCGAAGTATGTAAAGTACTCACAACAGAGTTGGAAGACAGACTGGAAGAAACTGGTAAAAGTAGTGATGTAATAGAAACAGGTTATGCAGTTGATGATGTCAAACCAAAGAAAAAGAAGGAATACAAAAAATCTGAGCTGAGACTTGTAGAATCTCTTGACGGAATTTGTGATAGGATTCTTAAATACAATATACACAAGGAAAGGGGGGATAGTACTAGATTTGCTAAAGGTATGAGCCAAACATTCCAAACATTACATGGTTTGGTTGATAAAGGAGTTAAAGTTGAATTAGGAATTCCATATGAACTTTGGGATAATCCAAGTGTTGAAATAACCAACATGAAAACACAATGTGAAACTTTACTAGAACAACATGATAGTGAGATTGAGGAGTGGTATTTCAACCATCAAGGTAAACAAACGTTAAAAAAATATCTATGTGAAGACAGGGTTTTGGATAGCAACAATAAATCCTGTTTGTATGAACAATTGAAGGGTGAAACTGGTGGTAAAGTGAAGTCTGAGAAGAGCAAAACAAACAAACCAAATAATAAAAGAAAGTCAAGTGAAGAACTGTGATGATTTATAACCTAAATAAATTTAGAATCATAGTCTTTTTTATATTAAGAAAATTAAGGAATAAATAAATCGCTAAGACATAAACAAAAAACATGAATACAAATTTGCAATCCGAATATGCTGATATTGAACCTCAACCATTCAATAGGTCTTACTCATCGCCAAGAAGACAAATGATTAATCCTGAAGAGGCTGAGCTAGAAGTAGTAGTTCTAGCAAAATTCCACCTGAAGAAAAAAATAACTATTGCCATAGAAATCCGTGGCGAAGTTTAAGCTATGCAGATTTGATTACAAGGGCAATCGAAAGTAATCCTTCTAAGAGCCTAGCATTAGCACAAATCTACGACCGGATGGTAAATAATATTTAATATTTTAAAGAAAAAAGTGACAGTGTGAATTCCATTGGTTGAAAAAATTCCATTAGACATAATTTATCATTGCATACAAGATTTATCAAAGTGCAGAACCAGAAAAGAAGTAAATCTTCTTGGTGGATGTTGAATTCCTTAGCACCTGGAAAGAATGTTCGAAGGAGATCCAATTCTCTAAGTCTAAATACTAAAGTTAAAAAGAAGGGAAAACTAATGATAAAAAGTTGTTTAAAAAATCTTTATTGCTACAAGAACTGCAAGAAACGGATTATGATTATTGAAGACCCAGGTCTAATTCAAATTGTTCCACAGAACAATTAGCAGGTCTCCAGCAAACTTTTAACATATCTCAGGTTTCAAATCAAGGATTAAATATTGACATGAGATGCAATCAAAATCAGCAAAATGTATGGAACCCACATTTAATACACCAAGCACCACCACTGAGCTACACGTGCTGTCCTAATAATCAACAGGTTCAATTTGGTCAGTATATGAATGGAATTCTAGCAAACTACAGACATTCAATATCCTTTCCATTAGAATGTCCCAAGCCCTGCAATAATATTAACAATTTATACATCCATACTGTTACGCCACCACAAACAAGTCCATCTTTAGGTACTGATTCTTTAATAACCATAAATCGAAATTGAAAAAAGCTATACCGAAGAAAATTGCGAATCTCCTGCAGAAAGCCAGAATAAAATTAAGTCAAGTACTTTCCTGGATACTTGACATATTCCCGATAACCTTAATTGGTGAAGAAGTTTTAAAGTACGAGTTAAATACTGGAGACTGTAGATTTTAATTTTTCTGATGAACATGGGAATTATGTATCTTATTCTGTGCTTTTATTGCTTTATTGTGTACATAGGTTTAAGTGTAAATATTTAATAAAAATATTTTTGGTGAGTTAATTCATTATTATTTTTTATTTCACAATTCCCTATGGTCGCTTAAATATATATATATATATATATATATATATATATATATTTATATATATATAAACAAGATACACAAGAAGTCCGAACTTGTATACAAATATTTTCCTAAAATAAGAGGTAGCTGGGGTTTCGTTTATTGTTTGATTTGTACCGAAACAGCAGACGTCAGTAAGTATCGACAATCAGCGCCTCTGGTGGTGAAAAAGAAAAACCTATTTTGTGCGATATAGTGGGCTGATTTTGGCACCCCCCTTAAGTTCAGACTCCTATACGACCACCCCAATATTATAAGAAAGCATGGAAATATTTGAAAATTTTGTTCACTTCGGTTAAAAATAAGAATTTAGGTGAAATAGGTAAAATCACACCATTTTAGGTAGTGTAGTCAGGTCCGGGACGGAAATAATAACTTTTCCTAATTTATAAACTTTATTTTTTAACTGGTGTTGCCAACCTTAAAGAACTAACTAACAAAAATGGAAACTACATTACCGATAGTAACGAAGGTATATACCGGACAGTCTTGTTAGAATGTATAAGTTTTTCCTACAGTAGTAAAATTTAAAAATTAGGTCCATTTGTCTTAAAAATGAAAACTTAGGTAAAATAAAATCAGGCACAAACTAAAATCCCATCTCTAATGATAATGTTTATACACCACACTAAAAATATTCAAAATGTACAGTCAGATCATATGGCTCAATCTCTAGAAACGCTTGTTAAAAATCAAATCAATAAAACTAAAAACTTTATTACAATAAAAAGATATTTTTCAAAATCAGCGTTTCAAAACCGTTTCCTTAAATTGTCTAACTGGTCGGATATTTTACTATGTACTGATGTAAATAAAAATACACTATGAAATTTAATATGATTTCAGTTGTCAGATTTTAAATATTTCTTTGTTATTTTGTTTTGTTGTTATTGTATTTAAAATCTCCAGTAGAAAACTTACAGGTAAAAATGACCCATATTTGTTTTGTTTTACATGCGGACACTATATTATTGGAAAAAAGGTAGACATAAAACACCAAACCAAAAGATTGCATATTTACATTATTTTGGTTTTGAAATAAATAATTAAGAAAAATCTTGGACACCAAGTTTAATTTTTCCAACATAACGCTAAAAAGCTGGATGTCTGGAAAAAAGTTTATTTAAGTTTTGAGTGCCCTATTTTATGGGCAGAACTAGTGGATCACTTTTATTGTTACTTTTGTGTGATACATATTACTGGTATAAACTATCTAGATGATACTTGCGAAGAAACCGGTTCCACGTGATTACACAATGAAAATGATTTACCGGCAATTTGGATTACGCATGTAGTAAATATAAAAGAGACTTATAAACGAATTTCAGAGGTGTTGCAATTGACAAAGTATGATAATTTTAAATGGAAAGTTTGTGCAGACTTAAAGGTAGCTAATTTTTTGTTGTTTTTTAACGATTTATTAAAACGTTTTTTTTTATTGTTTCACAGGTGGTTGTAGTCCTTACACGCCTACAAGGTTTACTAAGTATTGCTGCTTTCTTTGTCTATGGGATAGTCAGGTCAAAGCACATATATTATGTTCGTAAGAAATGGCCATCCAGAACAAATTATACCGTTGGTTCTTTTAACCTCTTAAATCAACTACTTTGCCGCCGCCTTATATCAAATAAGGTCTGAAAAACTTCGTCAAAGCCTTAGACAATGATGAACCTGCATTTCAATATATCACAAATTTTTTTCCAAAGATTAATACCGCAAAATTAAAAGAAGGTATTTTTTAGGTCCACAAATAAGAAATTGATGAATGGCGTACAATTATTGTCGACTGAGGAAGCAGCTGCATGGGCCTGCTTCAATTAAGTTGTACAAGGATATATATAGAAATAACCTTATAATACAAGAAAAAAAATAAATAACTTTATTTTCAAAAAGATAGAGCGGTTTAAAGTGGATCCTAAAAAATCACAAATTGTATATAAAAATTAAGTTTGCGATGCCTTTAAGGCACTGTTACTTCTTACTCATAAAAAAATAAACATATTTTATAATTGAAACCAAAGGATATTTATGTATGTATGTTACTTAATATTATTAAATTAATAACATGTTTTCTAAAAATGTTTAGATATTTATATTTTTAAATTTATATTAAAACTTTATAAAATAATAACATTTAATAAGTTACTAGGAATAAGTTTTACGGTCCAACTAGGTCTAAGCTAAAATTTCCGTATTATAGAATTTTTTTCATTTATTTAATTTTGACAACGCTGTTATTCCATACGCTGAAATATTCCATATTGCACAAAAGTTATAATGAAAACATGGAAAAAACTTAATTTTTATTTTTGAATTGTCATTATAAATTTATTGTTATTACTATAATTTAAAGAAATTTTAAGGCTCAAAACTACTCGTCGACGTTTGTTGGTATTTTTTACTTTATATTTATTGCGTATGACGTTAGTAAGCTATTTTTGGAATACCCTATATCAGGGCCGGCGACAATAGCGGTGCTCGCGGGCTCAAGCACCACACGTATCATCAGCAGAAAAATTGCATTTCTTTTGCGGCATATAACAAATATATTGCGGTCTCTAAATTTTTTATCCTGCTAGCCTGGCTACACACCAACGCCCTCTACAAATTTACGGTTGAAGATGAGGAATCCAAAGTTTAAAGCAGCGGTTCTCAAACTTTTTTTTTCGCGTACCATTCATGTGCAATGTGGATTAATCGAGTACCACCGAACTAAATAAAACAAGTTGTGCTGCGTGTACGTATTTATTGAACTTGTAGTTTAATAAGAAATATTGATAACCGTCAAACAGAACCAATTTTTATAGTATTAAAATAACAATTTGTCAGAACAAAACAAAATACGCATGACTCGTCACGATTTTAAAACGAGCATGGGATTACCCGTTTAATAAACACCAACAACAGTGTTGCCATTTACAATATAAAATGTGGGAAATGATAGATTTTCAATAAAATTGAGCCAACGATAATTTTATTTGAAGGCAAGTACATCTATTATCTATTCGCGTACCACCTTTGGATGCCACAGTTTTAGAACCGCTGCAGCGGTTCGAACTGTTTAAATAAGTGTTTATAGTTTTTTAAATTTTTAAATTTTTATAATGAACAACGAGTTTTTTGAAGTACATTTATGTTTCTTATTTTACCTTTAGAGTCACTTTAACTAACTTAAATATTTAACTACCTAAAATAGCATTAAAAATATCGACCAGTGAGAAAACAATGTCCCTACAATACTTCGCATCTATATGAAATAGGAAGCGAAAGGCGAATATTGTATTTCGCAATTCGCATTTCGCATCTATATGAAACCGACTTAAGTAAGCGTTGAAAGGTTGTTTTCTGTTTTCAAATTTTTACTTCCCCAACAAGCACGGTGGTCCTCGATTAATTTCAACCAAAAAGTCTTTGCACCTCAATTTTTTTTTACTATATATTTTTATACCAATTAGCAGCTACTTTTCAACAAAAAGTGAAATCCTACATTGGGCACTTTTTAAATAAAATCGATTTTTTGTATTTATATATATAAAAAACTAGTTTCTATTTAGATTTATAGATTACAAAGCTATTAATGTATATTAATACAGTAATAAAATACCATTTTGTGCAATAATTAACTTTCCTTGTTTTTATTTTTATCTCATTTAATTTTAAATTTTGATAATAAAATAAAATTATAAATAATTACCATTTAACGGTTCACGGTGGTCCTTGATTAATTTCAACCCAAAAGTATTTGCAC